TGTGTGTGCCTATAAATGTATGCATATACATACTGACGAAACCTGTTTTGTGATAAATTAATTGCCATAATGTAATTGTATACTTGATCAAAACTCGTCAACGTTCCAATTAAAACTGCGACACACGGCAAATCTGCATATGTTTAATGTGCTCTCGCAACAATCTTGCAAGTAATTAATAAAAATCACAGAGCAACTATCTAGTATATCCTTTCCAAATTCAGTACCCCAATTAACCTTATGTTATTTGTAATCTATGTTCCTATTTGCTGGAGGGCTATGTGATCACGTACTATTCAAGTGAGCGTTTGTTATATACCCTGGAGAACAATGATCCTGAATGCACAATGCATAACTCATTGTAGGTTTGAACTTAACTACGCAGCAAAAGACGGATACGGCATCAGCTCGGGCTGTTGAATTGGCGGCAGATTTGTTGAAAGGTGGATGCGATGAGGTATGTGGGATGCGCTCTCGGGCTTGTAGTACATTCTAGCAGGAATGTTTGAAATTATAGCTTATTCATAGTATTGCCTAGGCTTACTTCGTTATTTCCGAATCGAACAGTGGGGGTGCATCTGATGCAATTTTGTGTCTATCAGTATTCTTTTTTCGAGACTGGCTAAGACTGCGACCACTAAGTCTGACTTTTGGTTTTGCGACAACTATTTGTTTTACTAACGCTTACGCATGCGACCGCTAAACTTGACGCTTACGCGTGCGTCAGTTAAGTCTAACGCTTAACCTTGCCTCCTATCCACTGGACTCACAAAAGTTGGTTCTTGATTTTATTATCGAATACTGTACAGCATTAATGGCGTAGTGGTCAAGATGTGTGACAATCTAAGATTTAAATGCTTTTTGGGGGCACATATTCTGTTCTCCATGTAGTGGTGTTACTTTTAACAAACAAATATATACATATTTTTAATATTATATATACATATGTACATATACATATACATATACATATACATACACACACACACACATATATATATATATATATATATATATATATATATATATATATGTGTGTGTGTGTGTGTGTGTGTGTGTGTATATGTATATGGATATGTATATATATTGAATATGAATCTGTATATGTATATGTATTTATATGTATATGTATATCTTTATGTATATGTATGTATATACATATACATATATATACATATATATATATATACGTGTGTGTGTGTGCGTGTGTGTGTGTGTGTGTGTGTGTGTAAGTAGTTATATACGAGTATATATATGTATGTATGTATATATGTATACATGTAGTATGTATGAATGTTTTATGTCCCTAAAAATCTAAACCCTAGAATCGAAAGGTCAGCGTCAGTTGGACGTCAGACTTAGGAATTGCAAGGTTAAGCGTCAGACATACGACAGGGCGCACGCGCAAGCGTAAAGTTTAGCGGTCGCATGCATAAGCGTCAGACTTAGTTGTCGCAACTTTAAGTCGCAATTGTAACGCATCAGACTTATGCGTCCATGCGTCAGAAATAGTGGGCGCAAGACCAAAAGTCAGACTTAGTGGTCGCAGTCTTAACAAATCACTCATTTCTCAATTGTATATTAAGATTGAAGAAGTCATTACTACAGAGATATTGGTTGTCCCAATATTGTTGCTTGATACCAGGTCGAGTGCTATTTTACACCGTCCGTTGAATTTCCTCCCAAGATACAATCTGCCATCTAATATGTTGGTTATCGATACAGTTATGTGGCACTGAGCAAACTACTAAATCTTCTAGTTGTACGAGAATTGTACAACGCCAATTAGAATCGAGAAAATTCATTGTAAGTAACCCTCGTGCATGCATCCAGGTTATCTTTCGTGAGCTGACGAACTCTCTGGAGGTGTTGGCGAATGGAAGCGCAACGCATTTCGACAAGCCGGAAACAATTGTGTACAACGCGCTCAGAGCAGGAAAGATGGACGGAATTACGCTCAAAGACGCACTCATCAAGAGAATGGTGATATCTATGGCTGATCATGGCGCATGCGGATGAGATAACCGCGTTATATGCACACATACTCCTTCAGGAATCCGCGTCTGTGATTTACGCAAATACATATGATTTTAAGTCCCTTTAATTCTCTCACATTCATATTATCGGATCGAAAGATGTCTGTCTGTCGTATACGACTGACATTAATGGTAGATTAAAGATACCCATTTCGAAACGTTCTCTACAGCGTTGTTCACTAGATATTTACTAATCTCGTTTCAGAATCCATCGTAAGCTGTCTCACAGATCTGATCATAATCAAACCACATAGATTTTGATTCCAGTTGCGAGTTTGACCTGTCATTACATTACATGAAACATCCCACGTTGCTTCCGATTTATACAGGCCATCTTGAGGTCGAAACGAGATGGCTCTACAGAAGAGGAGGCTGAGGCGATGATCCGAGAATTCGTTCAAATCAAATCGAAACAGGTGGAGCAGGAAAACAAGCGACGGAAAAAGGCGGCGTTTGAGGCGTCTCAGAAAATGTTCTCTACCTGAGTCAAGACTTTGGAGACCTATAGACCGCCATTGAGTCGAAGTGATCGCCTGGGATGCATGCCACTGGGTTTGATGATGCAATGATGGTATATTAATGTAGCACCTGGTACAATACATACCTATTTGGTAGGTATCAGGGTACGAATAGCTGACTCGTTTAGGTTGCGTACATGTCTGGTAAGAAGTATAGCAAAAATTGGACCACTATCATAGAAGGCTTGGCTTGCATGTCAACCAACCGAACCGGGAATACACCAAGCAAACATTTCGTCAGTCTGGGGGCAGTTCCTGATTCGTCGTAATAAAAAAGTATACTTGAGGCCTACGAGGTCCCCAGTTCCTTTAAGAAAATTTGTATGCACAACAAGTTATTTCGCAGAGTGAGCTGAAGAGTCCGTTCTATCTAGTCCAGCAGAATGTAGTGGTCCTGCAAAACACCCCACCAGAAACAAAGAAACAACAAACTACAAACTACAGAAAATCATCCGCTGAATAGTATTCAATTCGAGGGAGTAAGCACTCCCTGCTCAAACCAGCCAGGGAAATAGTAGTAGACAACTGTGTAGTGTGCGTGTACGACGACAAATTCGCAGATGAGCGTCATTCATCCCAGTATCGAAGTCAATAGAGTGTCATTTATTTGCATTCTGCGCCGGACATTGGCAAGTGGTGTGTCTATTCGTCTATTCGACAAGAGCACCAGAACGAGGATGACACTTTGCAAGAACAGAAGGACGATCTCTTCCATACACCTCTGATGGAATAGAACCCCTCATCTGAGAGGCACCATCTGACGCCAACATCGAACACCACAGACGGTTGCCCATCACACTTTCGCTTCATAACCATTATATCCTGATACCATCATAGTGGAAGTATGGTTCAGATCATTCGGTCCGAAGGGCCTAAAATATACCATGCATGAATTTAGAACTCTGCCTAACGGGTGAAGATATTAAGCACACTTTTTATTAGCCCTCTGTGTTAGACTACCTGGTATGGATCCCCATCTCTCACGAACCTACTAGACCACTGTATCCTAAATAATACATATCTAACAATAAGTCATACTCTATTTTATCATCAATCCGCTTGAACCCCTTTGTCACTATAGATATGCATCACCTCTAAATCACCTAACTCTACACACCTTTTCCTCTTTCTGGCTATCCGCACAATACGCCACTCGACAAGAAATCACTATCCACTACATACTTTAAAATTGAACTAATCTCCTCAATCAGTTGGTGAGCAGTGAGTTAAATCTCACATAAATTATACCATAATTACTAGTCAGATATATCCACTTATATTCTTAACAGTCTGTCAATTCTAAAATACCACTAGTCCTAATAACTAAAATCTATTTTACAATCTAGTCAATTTCTTCTAAAATACTACTCAATATATCTCATCAATTAAAATTGGATTGAGGACAAGTAATATCTGATCATAGAATATGGGGTGAAGATATAAGGTCTTAGGAAATTAATAGATAATATTCCTTACTGTAATCTATTGTCACATTAGTTTGTACTTGTGTAAAGAGAGATTACTTTCTAAGTAGGTACATACGCTCTTGTTTTATAGAGACGGATATATATAAGATATGGGTATGGGGTATAGGCAGCATATCGGACAACGAATGTGATGACTAAAAGGGGGAGATGGGTGATGGACCAATTACAGACATAGGAGAGTTCTAGATTATCAAGGAGGCATAGAGATGGAAAGTGTAATGAGCAACCAGCGGGAGACTACTAGGTCATCGGGGTGTGATCGTTGGCGAGAAAACTGTCCTTCCCCTTACCCCGTGACCATAAATTTAGGTAAAATCTTCGTCTCATTTTTCATTCATGTCACATATAGTCTTTCGGAGACGTTATCATCACCAGAGTATCTCTTGATTACCACAGTAATCTAAGTGATTTGGTTAAATCTAAGAGTAACCTCTTTTGGGACATGGGTTAGAATCATAATTGTCATTACTCTAGCTACTTTTATTATACCCAAGTAATCTCTTTATTTCCTAGTCAAATAATTTAAAATACGATCTACAACCCTAGGGGTGTGAGGTGAGACTAAGACGCATAGTTATTTAAGTGTATTGAGGGAATGTCTACAGCTGGAAAGATTGAGACGGAAGAGACCCACTGCCAAGGTGCCTTTGTGAGGGGAGGGAGAGGTCGTAGGTGCAGGCAGCTAGCTATCCGATCGAAGGGAGGGGGGCGGGTGGGGATAAGCTACCTTCTGATGTCTCATCGCTCCTTGTTGGTGGGCTAGGCTACTACATCTTTCTTAAGACCATATCTACTCTGTCCTTTTGTTCTCGAGTATTATTTACTTCTAATCACTTTATATTTAACTCCAGGTAGATCTTTATTTCTTCCTCTACTTACTAACACAACAGAATGTTCTTGTATGTTATGGAGTCCTCCAGGAATTGAAGAAATATTTTTTTTTCCGTTAGAGAGTTTAATTTGAGCAATTGTGCGGAATTGGGCTTCTTGGGTATCATAATAGTTAATTTGAAAT